TCGCCGGATACACGAAGGGTAAATCGAGCTGCTTCTTTATCTTGACATGGTGAGGTCAAATGAGTGATGCTACTCGGATCCTGTATGCGCGTTTCCGAGACGCAGCACACATCGATGGAACGAGATTCTAAAGTCCTAGCTAATGATGCCTGTTGCCCTATTTGACACAATGTCCGTACATTGAATGCTCCAACATGTAGTTTGGAACGGGGTTTAAGGAGACCAGGAACGACGTTTCGCAAACTCGCATCGTTTGCATTAGCTGTGCACTGTAATAAATGAATGTGAGAAGAGTTAGTTGTGGAGATAAGAGAGGTATTAGGGAATTTAGGAAGGATTTGATTTTGAAAAATTTGATCTCGTGTGCTGTTACGGGTATGAGGGCGGTTATCACTTCCCGGCTGCCCACACCGTGGAAGGTTGTTTCTTGACGAACCTGAAAAGGAAGATGGATTAGTGTTGGTGCGTGGCCGCAGAGTCCAAGGGACAACTGCTTGAGGCCGGTCACGCACGGACTTTTTATGAGACGTTGTTTGAGGATTAGCTCCGTTCTTAAAGGCCCTTAGTGGGCACCCTTACCGAAGGAGACGGAAATCCGTGAGGTAGGGGAGGTGTGACATTTTCAGGGTCGACCTCTTCTAACACCTTTCCTCCTTGTGAGAAGGCAGCATTGCTGAAGATACTGGTTGTCCAAGGGAAACACCTTACTGCTGTCATACCCCTCTGCAGTCAGCAGTACGACTTCGCCCTCAGACCTTGGGTAGCTGCTTTTAGTCTCATCGTTCTCCAATCGACCTGCCTGGCATGGTAGGACCTGCAGGAACATATGTTCCAGCCAGTATAGCTCGGTTGGGTCATCACGATAGGCAAGCCCGACCACCACGTCAAGGTAGCAGCTTCGGTCGGGAGCCACTTAATAAGAATATATATTAACTTTCATATTTATCTATGTTATATGAGGTGCCACATGTCGTCACAACTGTACGCAGTAAAATCCCTACATTTCTACTGAATGACATTAATGAAACAACATACCAGCATCAATTAGTAGAGAAACCAAACATTAAGCCGTGAACTTTTGATCAACTTGTCTGAATTACAGTCATTCCGAAACACATCTGAGATTAATATTAGTTCAACTATTTGCTAATAGAAATAATTGTCATCGGATCGAAAATATTGTTTGACCTGTCTCTTTATTAACACTACGAATCAGTCAGTGAGTAAGTAAGTTACAAGGTAGAACTTCGTACGCACGTACATCAGTTCAGGTTGCCATACTACATCGGCACAGAGACGCAACTGCTTTCTTTAAGTACAAGCGTAAGAGGTTTCCTTGCGGTGTCTTTCCTACGTCGAGCAAGTCCCAAACACATACATGCTCACACTAGGGCATGATCAGAATCTAGACATGTGCCCTTGAACGACATGGATCAGAATCGTTTGAAATGGCGCAGGTGCATCCACTCTTTGTGTGCTTTTTAATTCTAGCCTTCTGAATTCCTCATAATCTTTATCTTTCTCCTTCTAAACTTATCTCACTGAATTATACTTTTTGAATCATATCTTCGCTCCTTAATCTTCTCCATTGCTGCTAATAATTCTACTATCGCTATAACTCTTGGATTTGAACTGACAGCTACGTCTCTGTGTTGACGTGGTATGGCAACCTCAACTGATGTACTTATGTACGAAGTTCTGTGTTGTATCTGTCTGTCTGTTTGTCTGGGAGCGTAGGCAGATACGACGAAGAGACGACAGCAAGTGTCCCTATCTTTCCAAGTCCTACTGTCCTGTTTAGTCGGACAGCGCACAAGCAACTATCTGCTGGCATCCAGTCTAGGAACGCTAGTTCTGCTCTAGGACTTACTGCTATACTTACACCAGCGAGACCCCTGGAAGCAGCAGCAGTGCCTCCAGATACACGAAGAGTAAATCGAGTTGCTTCTTTATCTTGACATGGTGACGTTAAATGAATGACGCTACTCGGATCCTGTATGCGCGTTTCGAGACGCAGCATACATCGATAGCGCGAGATTCCAAAGTCCTAGCTAATGAAGCCGGTTGCCCTATTTGATACAATGTCCGTACACTAAAAGCTGCAACATGTAGTCTCGAACGGGGTTTCAGGGGACCAGGAATGATGTCTCGGGAACTCGCATCGTTTGCATTAGCAGTGCAGTGTGCTAGAGGAATGTGGGAAGAATTAGTCATTGAGATAAGAGAGATATTAGGGGGTGTAAGAAGGATTTGATTTTGACCAATTCGGTCTCGTATGCTATTACGGGTATGGGAGCGGTTGTCACTTCCCGGTCGCCCACACCATGGAAGGTTGTTTCTTGAAGGACCTGAAAAAGAACATAGATTATTGTTAGTCTTTGAGACCTGGGATCGTGAACGCATAGCTCAAGGGACAACTGCTTGAGACCGGCCACACACGGCTTTTTATGAGTTTTTGGAGTGTTAGCTCTGCTCTTGTTTAAAAGGCCTTACCGCCGGAGACGGAAGTCCGTGAGGTAAGGTGAGGTTTGACATTTTCAGGGTCGACCTCTTCTAACACCTTTCCTCCTTGTGAGAAGGCAGCATTGCTGAAGATACTGGTTGTCCAAGGGAAACACCTTACTGCTGTTACACCCCTCTGCAGTTAGCAGAACGACTTCGTCTTCAGACCTTGAGTAGCTGTTTTTAATCTCATCGTTCTCCAATCGACATGCCCGGCATGGTAGAACCTACAGGAACATATGCTCCAGCCAACATAGCTCAGTTGGATCACCGCGATAGGCAAGCCCGAGCACCACGTCAAGGTAACAGCTACGGTCGGGTACTACGAATCAATAACCTTCCAAATACAAAAGATGAATACCCAGAATCCTAGGTGTATTTAAACAAGGTATCCAACTGAAAACCGAATAAATACTACGGAATCAAGGTTAGTACAGTTCTAAGATGTCAGAGAATTTTGAAACCAAATTTTAATAAATGATACCCAAGTCTTAAATACTTACTAAAATATTTAAATCATTAGATGTTATCGAGATACCACATTTAGATGAATCCTTTAAAACACAATCATCCGATTCAAGATGTTGAAGCTCATTCCCCACAATTAACAAATTTTGCGAGCACTTTTCAAATAAACTATTTGGGAAGGCCATAGAATCAGCAGCATCCAATATAAATTGAGTAAATCCTTGCAGTTGTTTATAATTAATTTTTGTACATTCATTATCGGTCATTGTCAGATTGCCCTGATTAATTACATTGGCAGTTAATGAGTGATCCTCATCCTGGATAACTATGGAAGAGATAACCTAAAAGCAACCAAATGGGATGGAAAATAGAAGCACTTCCACATTGGGTAAACCATAAAACCTCTCGAAATAAATACCATGTGTAAAGAAGGTGGTACTAGATTAAATAAAACTTAGCAACTGAAAAAATGCTGTTATCGGCTAAACATGATGTGTCTAGAGTTCGTAAATAAAAGCATTTTAAGCCAATTCACCTAGTTGTGAATTTGTGTTTGAAGAAAGCAAACATGTTGCCATATATATATATATACATATATATATATATATATATATATATATATACTCCCTAATAAGTTAGAAATGCAATAAATAATCACAGCTTTAAGCAACGTTCACTGAAAACAGTTAAACTCAATCGTTAATAGCCACTTAAACTTTAGAAAATTAAGAATACTACTCCTAGGATAAATGTAGATCAATCAAACATGATTGATATGATTGATACTGCATAACTGGACATACCATACATTTCATGTGGACTTTAGTCAACTATATATTAAACAGAAACTACAAATAGTCAACAGTAAAAGCTGTCAGAAATCTCATACAAAGTTCTGATTAAAATCAGGCAATAAATGGAGTAGCAATACTATATTATTGCCATACCAAGATAGGTAAACTATTTGGTAAAAAGTCGACTTCATGATCTGAACAGGTAATAGACATAAAAACGTGATACTGACTTCCAGTCATTCCAGGTCAGATTTCAGCTCCGAATCCGGTAGCTGGATAATACAGTGAAATCTCACTAATATACGTGACCCGAAGTCAAGTATATGAACCTTAACTCGCATGAAATACATAAAGCGTGGAACATGTTCTTGGTCACTTTCAAAAGTTTATATTTATGCCGATCGATTTGTTTTTAAAAGTTTATGTCAATAACTATGAAAACACGATAAAGCTCACCTGAATGATTCTTTCTAAATTTTGGAAAAATCTAGGTGTGCAGCCTATGTTGATGTTGTATAACGCAGGTTTTTCCAAAGCATTCGCAAAGAAGTCTTTGAAAACAAAATCCACGGATGCGCGCATAACTGCTTTCTGAGAAAGGTTGGCAGTAGACCAAATAAGACGCATATTGCCCAATAATATAAGGACTGATTGAGGGAATAGTAACATATTATCAGTTAAACTATTAATTATGATATTAATGAGCATAACTGTGGAAGGACTTGGCAAAGCATTACCGGTGAATTCATTGGAATTTTCATTGCATTCAGACATGTTGAATAAAGGATTACAGTTACTGTTTGTAAGTCTGTATATCACATTTTGTAAAACAGAATTTAAGAATGAACGGACATCTGGAGAACTGAATATGAGTAAATGCACGATGAGAACTAGCTCTGACTTAGAATACATTGCACACTTCGTATCATTTAGACACTGTTGTAAATAATGAGCAACTGTAAGATGAATAAAGTTACTGGGAGGATTTATAGGGTCTGTACATATTGCTGAACACACTGAACGTGACAGAATCCCAAATACTTGCGAAGTGAACTTGAAGTAATGTAATAATTCTGCAATAAACAAAGCGTCTTTTCTAAAGAATCTGAAGAATTCGATGTAAGAACTTTGAATGGAACTGGTTAGTAACTCGTACTTAAATGTATTGAAAGAACAATATGGAGTTCTATCAGCATCCACAGATTCACTAAGCTTGAATGTATACAGGATAATTTTGACTCTTAGGCGATGATAAAACCAATTCAATTTATGTAGGTTGTCGTAAAGCCCATTCACCGCCAATTCGATATGTTTTATTGCTTTCACATGATGATCACAAAAACTTTTGTCCTCATAAATGTCCACAATTATCGAGATTAAATCATCACACAAACTTCTGAACATGATAACCACCTACAAAACGCTAGGACATTCTGACCTCGAGTCAAATGACCTTGAAATCTTCTCGCGCTTTTGTACAGAACATCCAATATCCAATATCTTTTTCACGAGCTAGTGTAAACCAATTTGATTTCTTCGCGCTCGATTCTTGTTCTTTCGGTACGGTTCCAGATGTTCGGTAATGTCCAATGGATGGAGGTCTGGCCACTCGACTGTCTAATTCTAGTCAGTTGGCAGTTGGTTGTGAGTTTGTATGTCTCGGGATTTGAATGAAACGTTTGTTTCAGGGCAGTAGGGTTTCTGGATACTAGCAGCCGTCACATTACCAAACCGGAGATCAGTTAGTTGCAATGTGGAGAGTAATAAGGGTAATAAGGGTAAATTAAAATGATAATCTGAGTAAAATTTCAGGACTGATGAATTTAGTTTATTAATTGGTAGTGAAGATTGTGAGAGAGGACCGAAGCGTAAGCAAGGGAGAGGAATAGGCGAGTTAAATTAATTAAGTGATCTGAGGAGATGGCAATGGTAACAATTAGCAGGTCTCAAGATATGCATCAGGCACAGCTTGTCCAAGAGGGAGATGATAGTCCGCATGTGAGTACGTGATTATCAAGTCTCTTCTTAAAGCAGTCCACTGAGGGGGCTGTAACTACCTCGGCTGGGAGAGCATTCCAAGTTGCGACGACTCGCAATGAGAAAAAGTGTGCACGAACCTGAGTGTTTGCTCTTTGATGTGCAATCTTTTGAGGATTGCCTCGAGGGGAGTGGTGGTGATGCATCGGTAAGATGCTCACATTGGGATGGTTGGGCGTGTTTAATATGGTGTACGCCATAATAAGGTCACCTCTGATTCTCCTGTAGCTCAGTGGGAATAATCCCAAGAGCTGGAGTCTATCGTCGTACGGTTTATTTTTCAGCCCTATCACCCATTTGGTTGCTCGTTTTTTCATTTTTATTTGGAGCTTAGATCAAATTTTCTTGTGCACAAGAGACGATATAATTGTTTCGCCAGTTCAGAATTTTATGATATCCCTACACTGTCTGTTTTTACAAGTGTGACTCGCTGTTTGTCCAAAGTACACTATTGTCAATCAGCCCCCCCTCCAGTGTTACAACTAGCTTCCGCGATGCTAGTTTATTGAATGATTATTCTTTTATATTTATTTAGATTTAAGAACCATGTTGTTGTGAGAGAAGTTTGTAGTGGAAAACTTCTACGAAGGAAACGCGATTGGTGAAAAGTAACGTTTATTATTGTACTTCTTTCGTTTAACTGTACTAAAAAAAATTTACGCGTTGCTGTCATCATTCATAACTTGCTGCTCGTTATGTCACCCACTTTCTTCTCCACATATATTCTTTACTCTGGACTTATTTGTATTCATTGTGACGGGATAGTAGTTAGTACTTAGTGTAGAATCTATTTCGCTGGCTGCTGTCCTAATCGCGTCCAATAGAAACACACCGGTACGATTCTCCTAGATCCCCGTCCCAGCCAAATCAGAAGTCCAAAAATTCTAGGAGAAAACCGTCTCTATTGTTATAAAAAATGGAAATACAGAGACTTACGATGTTTATGTTTCTTCCAGGACTAAATTACTCCGTAGAGTATCTATTACAATAGCTAGTAAGTGACACTAAGCTCAGCAGCCACCACGTCTATCCAAAAATGTGGCGGTAGCCATATTATATCAAATTTAAACAATATATGTACAGTTCAAAGGCAAACACAAAAACTTCAATATAAGTACAAAATATGGAAAGAATAACAATATACAATGGTAAAATCTCAAATTGGAATCAAATAAAATACCAAAAATGTCAAGAGAAAAAGTCCATCATGTCATAGCAAAAATATGTAAACATGGAGGGATTTTCCCAAAAACAAAACATTCAAAAAGAATTCTACACCGGCCCGCAAAATCCCTCCATGCAAAAACAGCAAGCGTTAACGACACCTTAATTAGGGTTCCCATGTTATCCCCTAATCCACACCGGAATAACGTGTAGGACTTACAGCAGTACGCCTACCCGCCATCCAACATGGATATGACCTATCGCGCTAACTAGATACCTATACCTTCCCATCAGGCCCTTGATTCCCCTATCTATCGTGGAATGACCTAACGGTAGTATAAACCTTCCCCAATTAACCCATACGAACATGAACAACGCGTCGCAAACCTGGTCATATCCTATCCAAGGACTACATTCTCTATCGTGGGGACGAGTCGCCAATCCACCACCACTTGCTCTGATCAGCAGATACCATGAAGTCCGTGATGCCAACTTATCAACAGAAGTTTTCGACCCATAACTAATATGCAAGGGTGAGATTTCCAATTTTGACAATTCGTCGTCTCCAGAAGACCTTAAGTAGCATGACGTAGGATCAATATTTATCCTTCCATCTCCTGATGCAGAGGAGGTTTGAACAGTGTTCATCATCGTCGGTAACTCATTTGTCACCTCAGTGACATCCAGTTTATTGTCAACGTCTAAATGATTCCGTTCTACATTAGCATCCGTTTCCGCGGCACATGACATATGCTCAACAATAGCATCGTCATCACACATCACTGTAGACTGTCTGTTACCATCAACCATTTTCTTCTCATCATCACTCGACTGACGGTCAACCGTAATAGGAACAGTTACAGCTGCACAACCTTGTGCATCTTCAATCAACTTAACCTTCGTGACGAGGTCCAACGGCGTCGAAACACTAGGAGGCTCACTCGATGAAGTCGATAAACTAGTCCCTATAAGTGGACTGCTGACACTTTCTATATCCTTATTATCACTGTGACTATTGAGGTTCTGATGGCTACTATTTCCATAGCTAATCGTAGCATCCGTAAGAGCATGAGGTTCAGGCTTTTTAGTAATAGTAGCATCATGTCTCCTAGGCTTCTTAACCGTTACTGTATCACCATCACTTATCCTAGAAGCTACTCTAGGTCCAGTTATATAATTTACCCTAACTGAAGGGTTCCGAAAATAAGCTTTATTCCGTTCAGTCAATCCTGTCTGGGCTTTATTCATATTTGCTGAACTCACCAACCTCTGATTACTCGAATCCAAATTACCGTTCCAGGCCTTTCGAGCAGCTAAAAGGCTTTTATCGTCACACACTCCGGATCCATCTTGATGCCTACCTTTTTCACCTTTTTCTTTCTTTTCTACACTTAGAAAAGCCATCTTATCTGTTACACCATCCGGCTTCTTACGAGGACACGCATCAAGAGAATTTACATCGTTACGGTCACGTACTCGTACTTCATCAGGGTATGCTTTCGTGATATAATTGACAATTCTCTTATCTTCCGAGTATGCTTTAGGTAGAAACGAAGAATCCGAATGTCTCGCACGCAGACCACTAGTAGCTTCCTTATTATTTCCTGTTTTAGCCTGATAAGCTAATCTTCCAAACCTACTACCAGCTATCTTAGCACGAGACATAATAAATTCCGTCAATTCGTTAAAATTGGGCTCTCTCTCCTCTTCGTCCCACTTAAATACTAGCTCTGCCCACTGGGCTTGCATTCGACGAGGTAGGAGCCTTACTATTCGTTCTAAAGTAGTCATAGAGTTAAGTTCAGCTGTACAATTTAACTGTTCTAAAGTTAAAGAAGCATTTTGCATTTTAATGGCCAAGTTCGTCAATGATTCGGGATCATTAAATTCGACATTCCCAGTTCTAAATAAGTCCTCTAAGGTTTCTCGCGCTATCACATGTGACTGCCCAAAAAGCTGTTTTAAAATAACCTTAGCTCTCTTATATCCCGCCTGTGGGTCCATTATAAGACAGCCTTCGATCGCATTTTTAGCTTTTCCCTTACAATAATGAATTAAATACAATAAACGCACTTGATCATCCTTGATTCGAGGTTCTATAAACGTCTCTATCTGTCGTATGAACTTAAAATAGTCGCGAGACCTTCCATCAAAATATGAAAGCTCAACCTTAGGTAATTCTAAACCTTCTATCGATGACTTACAATAATAAATATCAGACATAACATGTGGGTTACCCATAAAAAGCTTATCGTTAACGACTTGCCTAGAGCCCTGTGATCCGTCGAGCTCTTCCACCCTCCTCACGTGTGATTTTTTTCGGTTTGACATCATAAATAAAGTCCAGTAAAGACGTTAACGATACAAAATAGAGTAAATCCAAATTTCAGTTCAAAATTAATGATACGTAGTTCCAACGTCTTCCTCCAAGGAAGTCTAGTACGATAAACGATTAAATTCCAAATGTTTCCTTCTGGTAAATATTTCCAAGTATAATTCACGCAAGAAGAGCAAACATCAGACTGTAGAATCTATTTCGCCGGCTGCTGTCCTAATCGCGTCCAATAGAAACACACCGGTACGATTCTCCTAGATCCCCGTCCCAGCCAAATCAGAAGTCCAAAAATTCTAGGAGAAAACCGTCTCTATTGTTATAAAAAATGGAAATACAGAGACTTACGATGTTCATGTTTCTTCCAGGACTAAATTACTCCGTAGAGTATCTATTACAATAGCTAGTAAGTGACACTAAGCTCAGCAGCCACCACGTCTATCCAAAAATGTGGCGGTAGCCATATTATATCAAATTTAAACAATATATGTACAGTTCAAAGGCAAACACAAAAACTTCAATATAAGTACAAAATATGGAAAGAATAACAATATACAATGGTAAAATCTCAAATTGGAATCAAATAAAATACCAAAAATGTCAAGAGAAAAAGTCCATCATGTCATAGCAAAAATATGTAAACATGGAGGGATTTTCCCAAAAACAAAACATTCAAAAAGAATTCTACACTTAGTGATCATCGTAAATCTCGACTCAGTCACCACTAAAAGTTAATCTATATCTAACGGTACTTTATTTTTTCTGTTTAGGTGCTTCTGAATTTTCTTAGAGAGTTGGCTTGTAACCAGCTGCTTATGTTTTCCCTCAAATCGATTTTTCACTAACAGTCTAAAGATCACTTCAGTTTCTGACATGACCACAACGATACATAACTTGTCTAAATAGTGCAA